TCCTCAGAACAATCCTTGGGGTTAGGTAGAAGACAAATTATTTATCCTCTAAAGAAGGAAATTGGGGTCCTGAAAGGTGAAGGAATCTGCCTCACACAGCACAAACAAGTTAAGTGGCAGAGACAAATCTTAAACTTAGGCTCTGAGACTGTAAAGCCAAGATTATTCTGAGAATCACTGTCCCATCTATGCAACACCACGCTTCGAAATGGGCTGCAGCCAGCATAGCGCCCATCAGCTTCCAGCTGGCTCCAGGTGAATATGGTTTTCTTTCTATTCCATGAAGGTTAAATAAACCACAAAAAACCCTGTAGAAATCAAAGCATCTAAAGCAGACACCTGTTGCAAGGCAGAAGCAAATATTCCTGGAGGCATAGAGGTCCTGCCAACCAGGAACAACTTTCTTTGTATTCACTCCAAAAAACGCAAGGCAAAGACAGGTCAATCTGCTTATTTCTTGCACCTGAGGGAGACATTATTTTCCCCCACAGCAAAATGATCAATTGCCCTCTGGTCATCACACTGATGACTTTTAACTTGCACTTTCATGTCTGATGGGTTAAAGACCAGATCCCACCCCCCCCAAAAAAATGCCAAACATCTGTTAATCAATACTTCAAAAACACAAAATTGCTGCTGCAGTTACTGTTCCTACCACCATCTCCTCAGACACGGAGAACTCCCTTGCACCAGCCCATCTGATGTCCCTTATTAAGCACACTGCTCTCGCTTTCTCTCTTTTTTTTCCACTGCTCTCTTTCATACAGAGTTTTCTTTTTTCCCCAAAGTGATTTTTGGCTTGCTGGCATCTGACTACAGAGATCAAGAGAATTAAATGAATGAATGCAAATTGAGAGACATTCCAAACACGAAACCTCTGATAACATCCAGTGATGGTATGAAATGTAGTAAAACTGACACATTTGGACATAACTGATGGTGGTGGAACTACTTTCAAAAAAAATTGTGCCCATAGGGAAAGGCTTTCTTTAAACAAATGCTTCTACTCCTAAGGAATAATTCATGAGATGCAAATGACTATGTGTGTACAAAAAGGATAATTATAGTGTTACTCAGAATTGCAGAAATCCAAAAATTATAAGCTAGGCATCCTATACTAAAGCGGAAGTTTGGTAAATTATAATATAGCGACATAGTGTTACATTATACAGCCATTTAAAATGATAATTACAACAAAGAGTTGATATGGGAAAGCTTCTCTTTCTAGAAATAATCCAGCTAATAAATGCAGAAAGAGTGATAGCATTAAATTATCATCATTTTCCAATCTCTAGTGAAATCATAGATCTGGGCAAGGAGCATCAATGACTGCTAATATAGAAGAGATGGACAGGTAACTCAGTGCCACGTATGAAATAGTCGCATCTAAAATTTAATGCTGAATCCAACAGTGTATCTGGGTCTAATTATGAGTTTGCAGGAAATACAAGGGACAGAGGAAAATGCTAAATTCTGCAGTCAGCAACATCTAAAACACAGGAAAGTCACAGGATAAAATGAGAGTTTCTTCATCAGACACATTATGAGGGGAAACAAGATTAAAAGAGATTTTAAAAACCTATCAACTAAATGCACTGACCTTGTTTGAATACTGATGCAAACAAATGAACTGTAAAACCATTATTTTTTTGGCAATTTGGAAAAGAGGAACACTGACAGGATATTTTATGAAATTAAGGTTTATCATTAGCTATTTCAGGTATAGTGATGATAATGTGTTTTTTTTTTGAGGACTCATATTTTAGAAAAACATTTTGAAATATTTATAGATAAACTGACATAACATGTGGGATTGATTTCAGATTAATCCAGTTTGGGGGTGGGCAAAGCAGAAGTATACAGCTATAAATCCAGTTTAGCCATGAGTTGATCATTGTTGAAGGTGGTGTTAGAAACATCAGGTTCATTTTACTATTTCCTCCGCTTTTGTATATATTTGAAACTTTTTACAATAAAAAATAAAAACCAGAATTATAAATGAAAATCTCCAAAGACAAACAGCATACAGAATAATGTGCCATGTGATTGCAATTACGAAAACATGTTTACACACATTCAAGAACTTGAAAGGGAATATAATATACAAAAATCAAAATAGTTGTATTTAGTAGTGAGCACGTGGGTGATTTTTTTTTTAAAGACTTTTCTTTCGTACTGTGGACACATCATCTTTTCAGGAACAAAAGAGGATCATTGTTTAGCCTAAGCTAACTCCTGTGTAACCATCTAGGAACCTCGGGGCCCAGGCAGCTGCTGGCCCCTCAGCTGGGTGCTGCAGTCCTGAAGCAACTGGAGAGAGGGAGCAGCCCCAGGAGGCAACCCTCTGCCCAGCCAGGCCCTTACTGTTTGTTTTTAAATTTCAGATCTGCTGGAGCCTGGAGTGACAGCAGCACATTCCAATTAGGGCCGCTCACACTAAGCAGGTGAAATTGATCACGAGTCACCTTTCAATCTGAGACAAGAACTTGGTTTCAAAGATGCCCCTGGTCCGGAGACGTTCTGAAATCTGCCCGCGGAAGAGGAGACCCTGTTTGGTCAAGTCAATCAGGATCTGCCGCACGATCTCCCCCAGGTACATCCCACTGGTCATTTTCTCGTATCTATTTGGAGAAAAGGGATAAGATTGGTGAGAGCAGGCAAATGAGTGCTGGTGAATGGTTCCTGAAAGATTCACAGGTCAGAGTGTGGAAGGCATGCCACTGGCATCCACTAGCTGCCTGGGTTGGAGTGGGTCAGAGTGGGCAGCAGGCCCAGAGAAGCACATGCAGGAGACCGCATGATGTGGGAAAGCCAGGCTTGACCAGGGAGCCATGCTGACCAGGAGCCAGGTCTGCCACATATTAGCTGAATGACGTGAGCAAGCACCATAAGCCATCATCTCTAAAACAGAGAGCAAAACACTGACCCAACAAGACTTGGGAGGCAAGCGTCTGGTGCACAGTAGGCACTAAGCAAAAGTGAGTCCCTATCCTGGCCCCAAAGCTAGTACTCCTTGGCTTTGTATCTGAAAAAATCTGTTCCACTAGAAATCTTGCTCCATAAGGTAACACATTTAAACTGTCTGCACACACTGAGGGTGATCTAAAAATGTTAGCCCCCATCCCCGTTTCTACCAGGCTGTGAGCTCCATGACAGAAAGAGTAAGAGCAAAAGGATCCTTATAACTGACACTCTGCCCAGGTATGTGTGACAGTATTAATAACAATGATGCAGAGCAGGACTGCCACTGCCTGCAGGGTCAAATGGAAACCTGAGTGTGCCTGAGGCTTACATGCTGGACCTGTGTTCTCTTAACTGCTCAGGACCTCATCAGTCTAAGGAACCAACACTTTAGACAAACAACAGTGACAGAAGGCAAATTCAAGTATGTTGCTGCCTTAAATTCTCACCCCAAAAATGTGACCCTCCAATGGATTCAGACACAAAACTTGGATGTCCCAATTTGGGATTCAGTAATAAGGTCCCTTGTTAAGTTTCCTTGTGTTTTGGTCCCGGGTTCAGCTGGGTTTACCACAGCTCACCTGCCTCCCAGCTACAAAGACTAGTGCCAAGGAAAAAGAGGGACCACCAGGTCTGGCCTTGGTCTTGTAAAGCCTCTTCCTTCTCAGTGTTCTCAGTTCAACAGTCAGTGGCCCAGACATGCCATTACCTTTCCTACCTGCTCAACTTTTCCACTTGGATATCATCCATCACGATAAACCTATATTTTCATCTTATTTTATATGGTAAGACACTGTGTTTAGTTGTGACAAAGACCAAATGGCCTGACAGTAAAACATTTACTATCTAATCCTTCACAGGAAAAGTTTTCCAACCCCTGATGGATGGGCCCAGGCTAATGATCAATTGCCAGCTTGCTAGCTCTATCCTTATCTACCCACTTCTCTCCTACTCAAGAAGGCATATGAGAATGCAAGTGAAAACGTACTGTTTTATTTTTCTTTAAACCGTTCATTATTTTCAGTATTTTTAGTATGATTAGCAATTGGAATACACCACACAAGTGATTGTGACCCATGATAGGACATGATATCAGGGCTGAGAATCAGGACTCCCATCCATCACCCCCTCAACAGAGGTCACCAACCTGGTAGCCTGCTCTTGAAAGACTGAGGATGTTGACCTCTAAATTGGACCTACTAGAAGCCCATCCTAAGAGGACCCACTAAGTCACCATGCCCTTTCTCTGTGACACCCTTTCCACAGTGAATGGACTTTTTGACAGCCTCTGCCTCATTTCCAAAGCTACCACTAGACCCTATGGTATCTTATGGTAATTAGAAGAGGGTACCCCTTCTTTCTACTTGTTGGAAACTTGTTATAACATTTTGCTTTTGTTCAAATAAGACACTTCACTGACATCTGATGGAGAGCTAATAAATAAACAAATGATAGTGTCTGTAATATGAAAATGGCACCCCCTTAGATCTGTGTATACTGCACAACCTGCATAAATGTACACATCTACCCTTCTCACCTCTGTTTGCCAGGATTCAAGGACCCCTCATCCACCTCCTTGTCATATTGGGTCCGGATGTCATCTATGCAGCCATTATCTCCAAATCCTCCCCACTCTGTGTTAATGCACATCTTCCCTTCATCCCCTTCCACCAGTTCAATGTTCCTCATCTCCTCCATGTAGCACATGTTGCTGCCTGTTCCTAGAAGGAATCATGAAGGGACTTTAGTCTTCAAAAGACACCTCTAGGTTTTAAAGAGCCAGCAGAGTACAGTGAAGAGGAATTTAGGTTTGGAGTCAGATATAACCAGATACAGATTTCAGCTTTACACTCATAGCTGGGTGACCATAGACAAGAATCTCATCTTTCAGAGATCCAATTTCTTCATCCGTAAATAGGAAATAACACCTGCCTTACAGATTTGTTATAAAGATAAAAAATGAGATGTTTGTAAATTTCCTCCACATAGAGTTAGTACCTGTGATATTATTATCCTCAACCTCCTCCTCCTCCTCATCACTATTGATAAGCCATAAGTACGCAAAGTGAGCTTCCAAGTAGTCAGAGCTGGAAGGGATCATGAGGAATCATCTAGTTGTGGATAAGTAGACATTTGGCATCTGTAAGCCACCCTCTTCTCCCTTGTCATTGACCTGGTCTCAGAACTATTTTCAACACAACAGTTCAGGCAATTATGTTTATTGGGGGGGGGTAATTAGTTTTATTTTTCACTTATCTATTCATTTTAATGGAGGTACTGAGATTGAACCCAGGACCTTGTGCGTGCTAGGCATGTGCTCTACCACTTAAGCTATCTCTCCACCTCCCAGGCAACTATTATCTTCAATTAAACAAGTCTCACCACTTCTCCCTCCTAGATCTAGCCCAATCCCTCCCACAAATAATGAAACTCAAGTCCAGACAGAATAAGCAACCTGCCCAGGGTCACCAAGTATATGAGAGTAAGAGTGAGATGAAACCTCTTACTGGGCACTGAAGACTTCTCAATATATCCCCATCTCCTTGTTGTACATACTACTCACCTTCAGGAAGCCCAGACAACCAGCTGGAACAATTTCCCCAGACTCTGCTATTACACAACCTGTGCCTGTCACTTGGAATGCCCATTATCCCTGTCTCCACCTGTTCAAATGCCACCTGTCCCCTCACCTCTTCAAGGAGTCATCCCCCTCGAATCCACCCTTGCCCTTAATCATTGTCAGACTTTCCTCAAAGACCCCTAAAGAACCTATATCACATCTCAGAATACTCCCTTCTCCTCTCCTAGGTTTCTTTCCAACTCTTCCCCATCCTCTGTACCCTGGCAGCCAGAAGAGGTCAGAGACCAGAGGAGGTATATGTTGGAGCCAGCATGAAAATCTAACTCCCTCAGCCCTAGGCCAACATTATCCAACTGTGGTCTCCTTCCTCCCAGGATAATGTGCTCCAAGGACCTGATTTGAAAGTCCTCTCTTTCTATGTTATTTTTATCAGCAGAAAGGATAACCTTGGCTCAGGACCCTTAAGGAAAAAGATATTAAGTAATGAGTTGGGAATTAGGAGAATTGGAATCCCAATCTTAACTTCATCTCTGCCTTGGACAAAGCTGACTTCAGAGCCTCTATATAATTGAACAATGGCCCCCTGCCCTTCACTGTGTTAAAAGGGAAACTCCAAAAGATCAGATGGGAATAGGCCAGTGAGACATGCCTGACCACTTACCCGCAATCAGGCCAACCTCACAATTAGGATCTTCATAGCCACAGGTCATCATGGTCCCCACTGTGTCATTCACAACTGCAACTATGTCCAGGTCAAACTCCTGCAAAGGAAGCAGCTCTACTGTAAGTGATATGTGCAGGTCAAACAGGCTCGGGAGGGGCACATCAGCCCAAGGCAGGCAGAGGCCAGAGTCACAGGGCTAAGTGTAGGATGGCAGAGCAAAGGGGCCGGGGGAAGGGGCAAGGTCAGGCATGAGCCTCAGCACCATATCATACATTTCTCCTCTTGATGGCTTCCCTGAGCATGTCCACCACGTCTTCCCCTTCACAGTCAGTGGCCTTGAAGCCTTTGGTCCACTCAATGAGTGTTCCCTGAAAGAACGGAGGGGAATTTCGTTTGAGCAATAGTTTGCTGGGACCATAGCACAACCTTAGCATCAAACAGATGCAAGGCATTAGAGCTGACTGCTGGACAAATGTATGTGCTTTTGACTGTGCTTCCATCTCTGCAGCCCTAACACCAGGCCCACAGGCGTCACAGAGCATGATGCTCAGACAAGGCCCACTGCTGAGTGGAATAATAGCAGCAATTCATATTTATCAAGGGTCAGCCCATATTCCCTGGCCATGACTGCACAGAACAAAGGCCACTTCTAATTTAGCCAATCAATCACATCTTTGTGATTTAAGATAAAGCTACAAAATATTCATCAAAGCATTATTTCACAGGAAAAGCAAGAGGCATCTATCATTCCAACAGTATGGATCTTTCATCATGTACATCAATATAGAAAATGCTAATATAGCCATAAAAAATAATGCTGTAGGAGAACGTTAGATATGGAAAGATGTTCACCATAAACTGTTAAGTGAACTCATGTTAAAGCAAATTATTCTATTATTCTTTTAAAATGCCCCCAACACACACACGCTTAAATCTGGAAAAAAGCCTGAAACAATACATACACCAGGGGGTAGACAGTGGTTCTCTCCAGGTACAAGATCACGGGTACCCTTTAGTCTCTCCTTTTTGTTTGTCTATATTTTCAAGTTTTCCCAAAATTAGCATGTATAATTTTTATAATACAGAGAAAAAGTATTTCTGATTTTTAAAAGGTAGAGCAAGGTTATACTGTTGGCCTGAACCAAGGGTTAGTCTAGCCTCAGACTCCATAGCCTAGAGCTGGGGGAGGGGGACGAGGGCAGGTAAAGCTGGGGCGTCTAGACCAGGATAGCTCCTGGGATAGGAGGGGCGGCCAGCAACTCTGATGGCAGCACCCCCAACCCCAGGGGCTGAATGGCCACCTCACTCTGAGGCTCTCAGCTCTAGTCTCCCCCTTCTTCTCCACAGTCCTTGGGAAACTGGGACTTGCTCTTTTCCTGGTGAATATATGTAGAACATTAGAGATTCACCTGATTCACCCCCAGTTGAAAAATCTCTCTTTCTTATTAGTTGCAATTATACAAAAGTCATTGTTTTAAAAAGTCTCTCTTTTTAAAATAAACTAGTGGTTACCAGAAGGGAGATGGCTAAGGATAGGGGCAAAATAGGTGAAAAGGATTAAGAGGTATAAACTACATAAGTTACAAGAATGTAATGGATTGCACAGGGAATATAGTCTATATTTTATAGTAACTTTGTACAGAGTATAATCTGTAAAAATATCCAATTACTATGTTGTATACCTGAAACTAATATAATATTGTAATATGTATGTTCATTTATGACTGAAAAATTGTGCTCTACACTGGAAATTGACACATTGTAAACTGACTATAACTCAATAAAATAAAATTTAAAAAAATATAATACTGTAAATCAACTATACTTCAATTTTTAAAAAGTCTCTCTTTTTTCTCGCCAGCCATCAGTAGCTTAGCTCCCAGCTGTCCACTGATCTCCCCTTCTTCTTAGCTGTGTCTTCATGAACTTTTCAGAACTTCTGAGAGAGGAAGCCTAGAGGCCCAATGTCCTAGGTCAGGAGGAGCAGTTATGTCCTGATGCCCGTCAATCATTCAGGACACCCACTGTCCACGGTCTGCACATGGCTCCCCCTTCCCATGTGTATTAATTTTTAATGGCAGCAGTAATACAGGAATGCACGGTCTTTATAAAAAAAATTAAAATGTTACTGATAAGGACAAAGTCCTCTTTAACTCCCCATCTCCCTGAACCTGAGAGGTCCTCTATTATTAATCTGATATGAATACTTTCAGACTTTCTCTCTGCTTACATGTATTTTTTAAATAAATAAATTTATGGCATGTGTGGACTACTGCAATTTGTTTTTCTCACTCAGCAATATATCTTTTAGACAATTCCAGGTCAGTTAATATGGAAAATATTCCTCAAATACAATTGTACAGAATTTTTAAAATCCACAAAACATACCTATAAAATACTGTTTTTATCCCCATTTTTGAAATGAGGAAGGCAAAGGTGCAGAGAGGTTAAATAACATGCCCAAAGTCACACAGCCAGCAAGTGCAGACGCCAAGACCAAACTAACTAAGGCAACGTGGTTCCAGATTCACATTTTTAAGTACTGCACTCTGTTGCCTCCCACCTAGGTAGGTAGTATCTGTAACACTTAGAACGATGTCTGACACAGAGCAAGCACTATGTCTGTGTTTGTTAAGTAAAAATCAAGTAATTGATTCCATATGATTGATACATCATAGTTTATTTAGTCATTCTCCATTGCCAGACATTTGGGTTATTTCTAATTTTTCATTGTTAAAAAGTGATGCTGTAGTGAACATACTTGTTCATTCCTCCTGAGGTACGTTTGAGAAATGGAATATTGAGAAGTCGATCTGCTGCTTCTTAGCATTCTAGCATTTTTAATTTTGAGAGCTCTAGCCATATTACCAGATAATTTAGCCTTTTGAACCCCTTTCTCCCTGTTCTCTGAATGATTGGGATGGACGTGGAGGGTAGACCTGGTGAAGCGTGTGCTTTCACGGCTTTTCGTGGCCCTGGAGACTCTGTTTTAGTTCTGATTTTGGACCTACCCATCAGACAAAACTGCATGCCTCAATTCCCTCCTATGAAAAATGAAATAGCATAGAAAATAGAGAAATGTATGCATACAAAAAGGGTAAGTACTCATTTCTTGATTTTTTTTCATTATATGTATCTAAATGTACTGTGCATTATAACCAAAATGGTCCAAAAACACTGGGCTCCACAAGGGCAGAATGCAAAAGCCTGGGCTCTCAGGCCAGCATCCTGGGTTGGCCCCTCTACCATTGTTTATAGATATGGCCACCTGGACATCTTACTTAATCCTATGTGCCTCCATTTTTCTTAGCTACAAAATGTTGATTATAGTGTGTACACAGACAATAGAATGTTATTTAGCCTTAAAAAGGAAGGAAATTCTACAGGTATGACCCTTGAGGACACTGTGCTAAGCGAAATAAGCCAGTCACAAAATGACAAATACTGTATGATTCTACTTATATGAGGTACCTAGAAACAGAGACAGAAAATAAAATAAAGGTTACCAGAAGTCTGGGAGAGGAGCAAATGGGGAGTTATTGTTTAATGGGTGTAGAGTTTCAGTTTTGGATGATGAAAAAGTTCAAAAGGTGGATAGTGGTGATAGTTTCACAACAATGTGAAGGCATTTAATGCCACAAAACCATACACTTAAAAAGGGTTAAAGTGGTAAACATTGTATTTATTTTACCACAATAAAAAATGATAAAATAAACCAAAAGTAGTGTGTACATCATGAGGACACTGAGTGGATTAGTCAAAATCTTGTCAAATCTTTGGTGCCATTCTTCTTACTGTCATGAGCTCCCTGGTTGGCTTGCTGTGCTGACCAGAGTTCTCCCCATAAACTGAGGAGTGGTGTTCTGCTTTAATGCCAGTCATGTAAGCTTGGTTGACATAAGTTGATTAAAGAGCAAGACAGAGCATTCCATTCTCCATGAGCTGGTGAATGGTGTACTTATCCAAGAAGTCCAAGAAAAATCTTGTGATATATGTTTCTAAATTATTATGAATAATTTATTAAAAATCATTATCCATGATGTTCTTCAGTGTCAGCTGAGTAAGTGTCTATGTGATAAATTCCTCCTGAGATTCTAATACCAAGAAAGAAATGCATTTCTTCTGATACGCTGGTAAGATTTTATTCATCAGACAATAAAACCTCTACAACCTATTGTGTTTCCCTGTTTACGCTGGCTGTCCAGGAAGATACAGATAATATTACAGACTGTTACAGAGTTATAACTGGCCTTGACTGGTCATCACCTCTTCCTGTCTCTTGATAATATGATTTGACCTTTCTTTTAACAGTACTCTTATGCATGTGTCCCTTTATTGTATACTACCCTAAATTATTTTGCAAACTTTAATCCAAAAGACAATAACAAAAATGTAACATAGTAAACAGAAAAATTTTAATGATCCAAATTCTAGATCATGTCTCCCCAGCTGCCCTGAACCTGAGACCCCTAAGTAAAATGAACAGTGACTCAGAGTTGCCTTGAAGTTCCCAGGTGTAGGAAGGAGGCCCACCAGGCTGGGCTGTCTTACCTTGTCAATGCTCGCCTGCCTGCAGGGAAACGAGAATGTGAAGCCCAAAGGCAGCTGGGCCCCCTTGAGGCCCATGTAGTCCAGGAAGTCGGCGATGCACTGCACGATGTGGTCAAACAGCTGCAGGAAAAGAGTTGCAGTCATCCCTGGCCTGCACTGTTACGGGGTGGCAGGCTGGCACTTCGGAGTGCAGAGTTTACCTCCTCACCGGTGCCCTGCATGATCTCCAGGGGGATGGCAAAGATTTTGTTGTATATTCGCACCGACCTCCATCCACTTCTGATCTTCACCAGGAGGACCCGGAAGTTGGTTCCCCCCAGATCCAGGGCAAGGAACTTTCCTTTCTCTGTGGTAGAGAAAGTGGGGGCTGCATCCACCAGCATGTACCGAGCAGGGCCTTGTGTGCAGGCATTGGGAGGAAGAGGAGACACCAAAACAGAGCAGACCCAGAGCCTGCCCACCTGGGCTCATGGCCAGAGGGGTACAGCGGTCACTGAGCATAGCCTCAGAGCACTGGGCAGGAACCCTGAGCCCATGTGAGGCCAGTCTGCTTTTCTTGGTGTCTGGTAAGAGCCCCACATGATACTTATGCTTGAGGAGCCTGAGAGTGAATCCAGGCCAGGCTACCCTGACTACAGTGGACCCGGAAGGTGCTTCCATCATGTCCTATAGGACCTGCTCATCACAAGCATGAAATGGTTCTTCTGTCCTGTTCTCCTCTTCCTCAGATTCCCACACCCCCACCTGATTAATAAGAAACCATATCAAGTCCAACCCCTATTACTGTCCAGGACCCCCCAGCGCAGCACCTCTCACTTCTCTGACATCGCAGAGCATCGCAGCCTGTTCCATGTAACCCCTCACGTCCCTTCCTGCTCACTCACTCTGTTCTAACCATGCTGGTCTTTTTGCTGTTCCCTGAATTGCCTGAATTTGCCAAAGACCTCACTCCCAATGAGCTCTCTTACCCCTTGTCCTGCTCAAATTTTCTTCATACCCCTGTCATTACATGGCATCCTTTGACGTTTATTTACTGTCTGCCAGCCCAACAGAACATAGGCTCCACAAGGATAGGGACTGTGTTTTCATCTCTACTCTGTCATCATGTCTACAACAGAGCCTGACATGCAGCAGGTGCTTAATGAAACTCTGAGGAATGAAGGCAAAATGATAAAAGGGATGAAAGAATGAATAACTAAATAGTGTCTTTTACTGCTTTCATTTTTTCCCTCAAGTAGACTTGAAGGATATTGGCTCTGGAAAATATATCGTTGAGACATTCCAAGTACAGCTGTGTGACCTTGACTATGTCTTCTAACCTCTCTGAGGCTCAGTTTTGACACTTATAAAATTGGAATCATTCTCTATTTATGTAACATACAGAGTGGTTGTGAGAACAAAATGAGATTAAAGGTTCAAAAGCAAATTAAAGATATGAAGCATTGTACAAAGGTCATTATATCTGGGTGAGGCCCATGAGATTCAAATTGGTGGAGTAACTTGTCTAAAGAACTGACTCCACTGTTTCATGGCTCCTCTTGGCTGAGCACAGAAGACCAGGAGAAGGATCAAGGGTCTGAAGTCTTGGGCAGAGTCAGGGGGAGAAAGTGAAGAGAGAGGAGAGGAAGAGAGCCAAGCCCCAGGACAGAAGAGAGCCAGAGAAGAGGGTGGAAGACAAGCCAGACACTCCAAGTGTCCAGATGGTAGTTCCCCAGGGGACAGCATCTGGGTCTTCACACACATGTAACCTAATTTAGGTATTCTTTCACTGCCAGTGCCTTGGATCAACCGAGCCAAATCGATTCAGAAGAGTACTAACTTTCTACCCAACTCTCCCTCCCTCCATTACAGACATGAACCCAAGTCTCTTAAAACAAAAAACCTAACTGGATTTAAGGAGTTTTGATGGGAGCTCTGGGTGGCCCATCAGAGAAGGGAGCTGTACTTGGCTCACCTGTGCCATCTGGCATCCCACGGACATAGGTGGGCAGCATCTTGACTGTGGCCAGTGGGTGGGTGTCCCTCTTCAGCCCATAATCGAGCTCAACACGCATCTTGTCCTGCACACCCTCAAGTTGCTCTCGAGTCAGCTGGAACAAAGCCAGCACCTTGTCAATCTGCTTCCGCTGGGCTTGCACACGGGAGGCCACTGCTGTCACCATGGCAGCTCCCTTGGTGCTGCCACTCTCTGACAGCAGAAAGCGAACATCACAGTTTGGGACCAGTTTCCTCACCACTTTGTGCAGGCGTTTTGGATATCTAAAGACAGGAGTGAAGGCAAAATATGAAACAATCATAAAGGCCCAGGCCCAGTCAATGGGAACAAACACAGGTGTAGCAATGGAACGGGGTCCTGAGGAGCCCTGCTCCCTCCTTCTGGGAAACTCTCATTTCTCTTGTGTTTTCCTGCCAGTATGCTTCATGTGAACTTGGCAACCTCTGCCATCCCAATTTTCCCCCATTTATAACTGGGTGTATCTTACTTTCCAATCTTACCACATAGTAAGTATTCAGTAATAATGGATAGATGGATGTATGGATAAGGACATGGATGGATGGCCTTGCTACTCAGACAATTGGCTTTAGCAGAGTACTTCTCTAAGAATGATCCCCCAAAGCAACCCAGCCAGCTAGATGAATGTAATCTCTGAATTCACCCCTGACCCTATAATCACAGAACCATAGAAGCTGGTTGGTTCCAGCAACCCAGAGAAGCAGCATAGTTTAGAGAGAACACTGGGACTCTGTTCCAGGGGAGGCTCATTTGCAGGGGGTGTGGACCCTCCACCAGCACTCACTGCGGATGGATCTTGTAGAGTGTGCCGTCCATGCCCACCGTGGTCCGAAGCCGCGCCAGCTTCTTGTTCTCCCGCAGGCGAGTCAGGATGGCTGCCAGGGCTGCTGCACAGAGATTAGCGGAACGGAAGGAGACGATGGTGCAGACGTGCTGGACCGCGATGCAGTCGGCTTCCGAAGGCTCCAGGCCCAGATCCGTCAGGATCTCTCTTGTATTGGCCAGGCCTTCTTTATACCTGGCCGGGGGACAAGAATGAGAGGACCAAACTTCTCTATCCCCTGGGATTTCCCTCAGAGAGCCAGCATTCCCACCTCTCAGGACTGTGAAAATAAACAGGCTGGCACATAATCGTATAGTAACAACAATTTCAACAATGGTCATGATAGCCACTGTTTATCGCACACCCACTATGCACCAGATGCTTGTTTAAGAACTTGACATG